ATAATAATAATAATAATAATAATAATAATAATAATAATAATAATAATAATAATAATAATAATAATAATAATAATAATAATAATAATAATAATAATAATAATGGATTGTAACTGTTATTTGAAGGAAAATGCCACATAAATAAAATATGTTAGGTTTAGATTTATTACTAGTACGAACCCGTGTACTACACAGATTGAAAAAAATTAAAACATAAGATTATAGAAAAAACAAATATTATCATATAAAAGTGCAAAAATGAAAAATAACAAAGTTGATATTCTTGTTTCAAATTCTGAAAAAAAAAAATTTGTACGCAACATTAATAGTTTTATTTGCAATTTGTTGAAATATCACTTATTAGTTGTCCCACACTGATTCTAGATAAGACAAATACAATTCGACGTTAGACAATGTCTGTCCTCCTTGACTTTAAAAATGTTATTTGATCTTGATGAAATTTTCGTTCACCTGAAGAAAGAGAAAAAGAATATAAACAACAATAAACTACTTAAGCAAAATGAAAGTAGAAAAAAATACTATAACATCTATAATATTATATCCATATATAATATCAATTGAAGTAAATAATTGCATCAAAAAAAATTATTGGATACATATGTTGCATTTTGTCGCCGTGCATCTGTTAAGGACTTCCTCAACTTTCTTGTATGACTGAATGGAGTGTCTAAATCTGAATTTATAAAAAAACATAAAAGATAAATATTTTCCTTGCATTTTACACCAGAAAACAATATTCGATTTTAACTCATTAAATAAATAATTTATAAATATGTAAGATTCATATATTATACATAATAATAAAAAATTTAATGTAATTCTAATAAAATATACTCACATGAAACAATATATAGCTTCATCGCCTGCAAAAGGTATACCACACTTTTCTTTCATTTTCGCCATTCTAATGTGTCTCGTATGTTTTGGCGTGAGCAAGTTCTTATAGTCGGGTTCGTATAAGAATCTCCTGGCCAAGATGGTATGAATCTTCTATTTTTTTCAAACTTTCTGGGATGTTATCAATGTTGATTTATGCTTGGCTATTATGAGTTTCTTTGACTTTGGTCTTCTTGTCAAGAGTTGGAATCATACTTTGATTACTTTAATGCCAAAATGTCTCAATCCTTGTATTCTAAAGCAGTTCAGACCAATTAGCTTATGTGGGGTGGCTTACAAAGTGATTGCTAAGATTTTGACTGGTAGATTGAAACAGTCTCTGAATTGTTGCATCAGTGCTAATCAAGCTGCCTTCATCCCTAGAAGGCAGTTGATGGACAATGTTGTCATTGCTCATGAGGTTGTCCACTATCGCAATAGGCTTAGAGTTGGAAAAAATGGTTTTATGTTAGTTAAAGTTGATATGGAAAAAGCCTTTCACATAGTTGAATGGGGTTGTGTGAGGAAATTTCTTGTGAAAATTATCTTTCATTCAAAATTTGTTAAGTGGATATTGGCATGCATCTCGTCTACATGTTTCTATTTTAACTTCAATGGAAAGTATTTGGGTTTGTCTCTGCCTCGAGAGGAATTAGACAAGGGTACCCTCTGTCCCCTTATCAATTTATTATCATCTATAAAGTCTTCTCTCAATTGTTGAATGCTGAAGTGGAGCTTGGCAGGTTTAGGGGTCTGAAAATGGCCAGAAATTGTCCTTCTATTACTCACTTATTGATTGTAGATGACACTTTAGTTTTGGGTGAGGGTAATGAAAGTCATGTTCATTCTCTGTTGAACATATTGCAGAAATTTACTGGCCAGAGAGTTAATCTGAGTAAATCCTCTATTTTTTTTTAGTAGAAACACTCTGGCTTCTTTTAGTAGGAACACTCTCAAATGTTTGCAATATCCTGAGTGGTATATAGGAACACATGTCCTCAAGATATTTGGGCTTACCTATAGGCATTGGGAGATCCAAAATAGAGGCATTTGAGTTTGTGGTTAAAGCTGTGAGGACTAAACTTGTGAGCTGGAAAAACAATTGGTTGTCTGGGGCTGGTAAGGAGGTCCTTATTAAGGTTGTGGTGGGCGTTCTTCCTGTTTTTTCTATGTCTTGCTTTTGTCTGCCTATTAGCATATGCAGGGACATTGCCAGACTGACAACCCATTTTTCGTGGAGTAAGGATGATCAGCTCAATGGTATACACAGGAAAAAATGGAACTTCATGAAATTTCTTAAATCTGTTTGGGGGTTGGCTTCAAGGACACCAGTCTTTTTAATGAATCTCCAATCTTGAAACAACTATGGAGAAAGGTAAGTAAGCCTAATCTTCTTGTCTCTAAAATTTTGAAAGGCATGTATTATCACAATGGCTCATTGCTCAAAGCCAAGAAATCTTCTAATGCTTCTTGGTTATGGAGTAGTTGGCTTCAGGTTCGAGACAAATTCAATCAATTTTTCAAAATTGAAGAAATGGCAGGAATACAAGTATTTGGAATGATCCATGGCTTCCCACAATTGACTTGCAGCACATTTCTAGAGGGAGTCTTGTAACCAGTGAAGTGAAATGGGTTGTAGAGCTTTTGGGGGATGGTGGTAGAAGATGGAACAAAGCTTTGCTTGAAGAGCTTTTTCCCAGTCAGGTACAAGAGGCTATTCTTAATATCAATCTCTTGATCCTCTTTTAGCTGGACATGTGGATATAGATATTGGATGGTAAGGGAAATTCTATGTTGCTTGTTCTTATAAATATCTGATTGAGCAAAAGTTAAGAGCAATGGATATAGTTGAAGACAGTGCTTCCGTACCTGCAGAACCCAACGCCGGGGGTGACCCCGACGTCGGGCCTCCGATGCCTAAGTCTGCTCAGATCAAGAGAGAGTGTGTGTAGTAATCAATTAATAGAGAATGAGAATGTGATACCTTAGCCCCCTTTTATAGGGGGAGTGTACCTTTTTGGGCTCAAGTTGGGTTTGGCCCATATCGTTATGCTTAGTCCATACGTGGGCTTATCCTCCAATATATATTCGTTTTCTCCATTAAATCGGGTGTAGTATAATATCATATATCAGATGGTAAGGGAAATTCTTTGTTGCATGTTCTTATAAATATCTGATTGAGCAAAAGGTAAGAGCAATGGATATAGCTGAAGATAGTGCTTCCGTGGAGTCTAGTAAAAGATGTCCCACATCGGTTGTTGAGGAGAACGAAGCATGCCATATAAGTGGCTGTGGACACCTCAACCTACAGAACGCGTTTTGGTGAGCTAGCTCCCAAAGGCAAAACCGTGAGGGAATGATCTGGTGTATACCCAAAGCGGACAATATTCTGTAGCGGGTGAGCTGGGCTGTTACAATGGTATTAGAGCCAGTACCGGGATCGATGTGCCAGCGGGGACGCTGGGCCCTCCAAGGGGGGTGGAGTCTAGTAAAAGATGTCCCACATCGGTTGTTGAGGAGAACGAAGCATGCCATATAAGTGGCTGTGGACACCTCAACCTACAGGACGCGTTTTGGTGAGCTAGCTCCCAAAGGCAAAACCGTGAGGGAATGATCTGGTGTATACCCAAAGCGGACAATATTCTGTAGCGGGTGAGCTGGGCTGTTACAGGAAAGATAAGGCTCAAAAGCTGGGGGTTGAAGATTAAAAGTAAGTTTAAGCATTTTCTGTGGAAGTGCTACACAAATGTTCTGCCTGTGAGTAATAACCTTGTTAGAAGGGGTATGAGGATTGGTCAAACTTGTCACTATGGTGGAGAAGAGGTGGAGACCATTGAGCATGTAATGTTTACTTGCTGAGTTGCTCTACAAGTATGGAAAATGGCTCTAGTGTCTTGGAATAACCCTCCATCTGCTATTAGGTCTTTCAAAGATTCGTGGTGGAGTATCTGTGAGGCAGGGGAGAAAGTTGTTGTTGTAGACAGGATTAAACTAACCACCTACTTGCTTTGGTGGTTATGGAAATCCAAAAACCTGTGGAAGTTTAAAAATGAGAGACTTCCTGCTAATATGGTGGGTTCTGCGGCTTGTGGAGACTGGCATGAATTATCACATTGCATTGGAACAAAGACTTCTCTTTGAAGATGGTTGATGTTGCTAGGTCCTTAGGTTCAGTTGTAGCATTTTTCATTGGTTTTATGTTTTTAACCTGTTTATGTATTGTAAGGTTGTCACTCTTTGTTTTTGTTATGTCTCAATTCTCCTACTACCTTTAGTAGATTGGATTGTATGGGTTGGTTTGTTTCAATTATCTAGACCATCATGATGGATGTTCTCCATTGTTTGGTTGTATTTGTTACTTTGAACTATTTAGCTTCCGGCTTGTAGTTATTTTTGTTAAATGAATTTACTATCGTTTAGGGAAAAAATAAAAAATAAAAAAAAAATAAAAA